GCAGACGGGTAAGGATATGGTTTCCAACCGGGACCGCCAAAGTATTTGACAGCCCCGTTCTGACGTTATCGCGGGCTTTTTGGCAGGCTCCAGCATTGCAAGCCCATGTATTACACATTTAGGTAGATATAAATCTAGATAATACTTTTGGGAGGCAGTTTTGGGGTACATTGCGAAAGCACCGACGGCTCAAATGCTTCCAGTATCAGGCAAAGCGTGTGCTTCTTCTTGCGGCAGGTGTACCTTCGGCGGCCATTGTCCTCATTCCAAGCTTCAAGTCACTCTGCAGGGGTATTATACCGTTAACATACGTGACGCTGGTCGTATCAGCGGTTTATAGCTGGCGCTAGTGTGATGTCCATAGTTCGTGCTGCTAATCCAGTTACTTAGATATTTACCTTCGGCCTCCCGAAACGTTCTGCCTATGTGAATGTGAGCTGTGCTTTCTGGGTTTTAAATCTCACAATGTCTTACGAAATATATTTCTATGTTATTCCCAGGGCATATTCTTGATCCATACGTTTCCAATTCAAGTCTAACTGTGGTAGTAATTGCTGTCCCTGTACTGTTTACTTATAGGTGTACACGCGTAAAACTTGGCGTCTAACTTAAAGTTTGGCGACTATTTTTATCTCAATTGGCGCTTTTCATCGTCCTTTATATTGGACGTAATTATCACTACAGGTTCTTCAGAACGTCTTTTCATTCAAAAATTCCTTAAATGTTTTTGTTTTGTCCACTTAAGGTAACGGTATTAAAACTCATTGCTCGTGTCGAATCATTTCATGGTTCTCGACGACATCGAATAACAGCACATTTCGAAATTGTGCTGTTATTTCCTCTTGTTTGGTTAACATGGCGGGCTAGCTGTTAGAGCAATGTGAGGCACGGTACAAATCAAATAAACATCGCCAAAACATTCAAAAGGCGATGCCACTGTGAAATCTAAGGCACCGCTGTGTGCAACGCCAAAAAATGCATCGCAGCATTACACAGACGACTTCAAACAGCATGCCACACGGACGCTGTCACTACTTTCGCTTGATCGCAGCCGGCGAAGCTCATGACGCGCCGGCATTAGGGGAGCAGGACGATGAAAGAATAGCTCTAGCCCCAAGGGCAAAGCGTTCTATCTGTGTGCGAGATGCAGATCATATGCAGAAAGAGTGCAGTACAGAGAAAACTAAAGTTCGTTGCTCGTGATACAATATACCACACGTTATACACCTGTACGGTATCACAAACACAATGTACATATATGATGCCGGACGATATATTTAGGAAATCCCGTACACAATGGAAGCAGAAGCACCATAGGTGTTGGTGGCAGCGGGCTTCACGCGTCATGCGATCCGCGTCATGCAATCAGAATTATGCAATCCGCATCGAGGCCTACATAGCTGACCATATGTCCACTGACCTGGACACAGCCTCTGCGTCCAGGCCAATTTGAAGTGTCATGATGTCGTCGAAAAGGCATCACCTGCCGTCTATGCATCCCAGAACCAGGAGCTCGAGGAACGCGCTTAGAAGTCCCAGGAAGCATGCCGGGACCTGGAACCTGGTCCGGTCCTGTCTAACCAGCGGTAAGGTAAAGCGCTAGTGCAGTCGGTCTGAAACCGTTGCCACCGGCCAAAACGTGCCTCTCGAACTACTACTCTCTTTTGCACTTTTCACGTTAGGCTTGCGCCGCAGTTTGAAGCTGGCCCATTCTCAGGATAAATTAGTTCAAAGTTCAAATGGCTTTTATAATTATTTTGCAGTAAAATGGTTTGAATAAGCCCTGACATTGAAATGTTAAACAGAGAATTAATGCCCGCAGGCACGAAACCACGCGTTTTAACGCGTCTTGGTTAATGGAGATCTATGAAACGTAAAATTGAGGATGTGGTCCCGTGTTCGTTTCAGTGTTATATCCGCACACGGCGCATAAAATTTATAGCAATGTGACTTAGATAAAAGACGCACTTTTATGCGTCTTAATTCTGTGTACGAACTTGCTCTGAACCATGGGTTGGCGGAGCCTCGTAACAATATGACATATATATATATATATATATATATATATATATATATATATATATATATTATGTAACGATGACAAAATATGTGGAAGGGGAGCTGAAGAAATTAACACTCCCTATATCTCGCTATTTTCCGTTTTCAACGACAAAATAGGTCCCTATCTATTAACAAATTACGTATACGCCCTCGCGTTCGATCGACTCCACCTTGCCCATAAATTGGTATGGTTTAGCTTGGAATCATATGATACACCACAATCATGGAAGATGAGTGTTTTGACCACATCCTGTTGAACACGCTTTCTATTTGGGGGAGGGCAACCCGGCCATGCCTGTTCAGTCCACACAGACACGGCCGCGTCGTAGTAAACCAAGTCAGTGCAGTGGCATCGTCCCACAAAACATGTTGGGGGGGGGGGGGGGGCCATGAGATGACGTAACCTAGCCTCACAAACATCAACATACGGGCTTCTCCGCGCATTTGCCCACCTTCTTCTCAAAGGGGCGGGGAGACTGGAATGCGCATTCGGGATGTGGAAATACCATGGTCGAATGTCCTTCTACACTGCAGTAATTAGCAAAGCCGCTGTAGTCGGCGTTGGTCGAAAAGTGACCTTCACGGCAGTTACCCGATTGCGACCTGTAAGACACTAAGACCAGCGCTTCGAGTCAGGTCACGCCACGGCCCGGGATGACGAAATTTAGCAGCGGCCCGCCGCCAGGTCTCCCCACCTGTGCTCCTGCTGGTTGATGTTGAATTCGCCGGCGCTTAGCACGGCTTCCAGTTTAGGCCTGATCTGGAAGTAGACAGCCAGGTCCGTGGCGATGATGGCCTCAAACATGATATCCAGCACCTGGCGCAGGGGCACGGGGTCAGGAAGGAGAGTCAGAGACGCGCCAGCTGTCAGCAGCAGATGCGCGTCACCGAGCATAGAAGCGATAGCAGCCGAGCTCCCAGCTGTCAGCAACAGACACGCGTCACCGAGCATACAAGGGACAGCAGCGGAGCCTGATGCCGAGCTCCCAGCTGTTAGCAGCAGACCCGCGTCATCGAGCATAGAAGGGACAGCAGCCGAGCCTGGTGCCGAGCTCCAAGCTGTTAGCAACAGACACGCGTCACCGAGCATACAAGGGACAGCAGCCGAGCCTGGCGCCGAGCTCCAAGCTGTTAACAGCAGACCCGCGTCACCGAGCATAGAAGGGACAGCAGCCGAGCCTGGTGCCGAGCTCCAAGCTGTTAGCAACAGACACGCGTCACCGAGCATACAAGGGACAGCAGCCGAGCCTGGCGCCGAGCTCCAAGCTGTTAGCAGCAGACCCGCGTCGCCGAGCATGGAAATGATAGCAGCCGAGCTCCCAGATGTTAGCAACATATCCGCGTCACCGAGCATAGAAGGGACAGCAGCCGAGCCTGGTGCCGAGCTCCCAGCTGTCAGCAGCAGACCCGCTTCACCGAGCATAAAAGGGACAGCAGCCGAGCCTGGCGTCGAGCTCCAAGCTGTTAACAGCAGACCCGCGTCACCGAGCATAGAAGGGACAGCAGCCGAGCCTGGTGCCGAGCTCCTAGCTAGCGACACTCGGCCCCAGTGTGCCTACGCTTCACCGAGACCCGTGCGAACAGGCCGGGAGCGCAGTATCCGAGGTCGCGGCGGCGGCCGCCAGACCGTCTGACCTCCTTCCGTTCCGAGCCGCTCAGCTGGGACAGGATGTCATGGTTCGGCCGTTGCAGGATGCTGGCCGTGGTCGCGAAGTGGTGATTCTCCATGACGGACGACTTGTAGAGCCCGCCTAGGCCGGTGTACGCCTTGGCAAATGTGTTGCTGTAGCCGCGGTGGTCGGCGTCGTGGCACACGCACGCCACCAGAAGTGCCAGGATCTGGAGACGGCGGACCGGGTCAGACCGGCCGGGTCATGCCAGGCCAGGCCAATGTAGCACCTCGGTCGGGCCACCGGTGGGCGCGCCTTGCATCGAAATGGAGCGGCTCGCAGAGCACGCCAGGCGGTGTCACACCAGCGCTGGGCCGGAGCCCGAGTCGCGACTGCCCTCATGGGCGGCACACCCGGCAGTGTAGCAGCACTGTGACGATCGCGCCTCCCTTCGCAAACCGCGACGATCCGCCCGGACAGCCACCGGACCTCGAGACGACTGAAGACGCTGGCGTTGCGCTTGAGGATGTTGTACATCGTGTGCGCCACCATGAAGGCGTGGGTGGCGTTGTGATAGGGGACGCGCCGGTAGGACTTGATGACGGTGGTGGTGAAGGTCACGATGCGCTCGGGCGGCAGGCGCGTGTCGCCCACCAGGTCGAAGAACATGTGCAGGTATAGGCGGTTCAGGTTGTGCTCGCGGCCCGGTGCCCACCCGAACCTGCCGCCGCGGGAGGGAGGAGGGCGCCGGGTCAGCGCCGGGTCAGCACCGGGTCAGAGCGGGCGAGGTCCGGAACGGGCCTGTCCTGGCGAGCCCCGTGCGACCATCTGGGCTGACGACACGGCGCATGCCGAGAAGCAATAACAGGTAGACCGCTGCTGTCGACCGTGCCACGAAGCCGAACTAACGACAACAATGACAGGGTAAAGCCCAACCACGACAATTCGGCGGCGAAGGCGTGCGTACGTGTAAAACATCAACGTACGCTGAAGCATCGCGTTCTCAAATGACCTTGAGCTTGTGGTCATGTCACACGAAATGATGACTGACAGCACCCAGTTCAAGATATGCAATACTTCCCTCAGTTTTGCCCAGTTTTGGCACCAGGCACGAAGCCATTATTACCCTCCGGAAAAGGGAAAATGTTAGTTTTTCTCCAAATTCTGCAGAATGAGACCAAATTCTTGCAGATTTGGACGAAATTGCGCACATCTATACACAATTCCTCCGATTTATCTGATATCTAGTGTAGGACTCCTGGCTGAGTGAGGGGAAGGAAGGATGGCCCTCGGCCCTGCCATTGGCTATGTCTCTACGGCACCGCACCTTCACTTGTTTGTGCAGATTCTAGATTGCTTAGATTTGTCTACATAGTGATCCTGAATAATCAGAAATGCCGGCAGAACTACCAGTAACAGCAGTGACAGTCAACGATACGCCGCTCAAAGCTTCAGAGCTGGATTTCGCGAGATATTTGCAGCGTAAAGTAATAGTACGCTCATTCTTGTGTTTGCCTACGACGACAGCGCGTTTCATCTCAGGCACTCGCGCCACAACTGACTTATCACCGTATACTTAACGCAATAGGCCATTCATCGTGTGACGCTATGTGTGGGAGACCAAGGGCTATTGTGCATCACTTTTTACTTGCGAATTTGTGCGCGCCTGTAAGCACTAGTAACAAATTTTGATCAACATATTGATAAAGAAAAATATTACTGATTGCCGACAAAGGATGCCACGTGTAGACCACAAATGCCAATGCGTGCGTGGCGGCACCTTCCATCGCGCTTTTCGAGCATGTGTGTGCTAAACGCCCAAGCACAACGTTAATCTCATCCTGTTTTGACAGCTACAAACAATTCCCTCTAAACACGCTCTAAGATCGTGACATCGGTCGAAACGGCAGCAAAGCCTTTGACTTGCTCGTCGTGAATTCTCCTCAACCCAGACGTTGGGTTAAGGGGAGTCAACGGATCGGGTCGACGGAGATGTATTACACCTAACATTTTGGGTGGGGGTATAAGCTTTTGCTTCACTTAATTCTGTCAAATGGCGAAATGGGTTAGATCGCTTGGCTTTTGAGGTTACGCCATTGTTCAGGCTGTTTGCCAAATAAACTAGAATAGTCATTGTCAACGTACTGCAATCAGATTTCGATCATTGTCAAATACTAATAGAGGCGGTTGGCGCGATAATAACTATCATGGCTTTGGCAAAAATCCATTTCACGGATTATCCTCGGGCCACGTTTCTGGGCCTTGGCCCAACTTCTTTTTTTTTGCACTCCCGGAACAGATCTTTCCTTGGCCATATTTTCGAAAAGTTTGTTAAGTACACTTATGGTGCCACGTTCAGCGACTAGCCTTCATTAAACTTCCAAAATAAGGCCATTTACCAGCATTGTGATGTGACCTGTGGGGGGAAGGGGGCTTTCGGGGTCGCAGCTCTTCAACTTCAGAACGTGGACGGCGCCAGATGGGAAGTGTGCTAGCTAATAGGCATGTTGTGAGTCGGCCATCTTGTTTATTTATTCCGTAGTTACGGCTAACCGTGGTGGAAAAGATGAATGTGGTGTGATTATTCAATTGCGAGTACCTATATATTCAGTATGCCCAGTGCTGGTAGGGAAGGGGGACCGTGTGAGAAAGAAACCCAGCTAATTACTCGTCCCGCACTGGAGGCTGACTGAAGGACTACATTAGACGTGCTCTGCCAGTTTCACATAACTATCGAATATCATTTAGCGCTTAGCACATAGCACACGTAGCACTAAGCACATTCAGGGCGCGCTTTTGCACATTCCCCGGCAAACGGGTGGAATTCCCCTTCCCCCATTTCTGCTTCCGCCTAGGTGAACTAGAAAGAGAAACTTATGCCTGGGAAATTGTCTGTCCTTTCCGATTCTACTGTTGCTGCTTCAGTGTGGTAGGTAGAGACTGCTGACTGGAAGAGATGCCAGCGGTCGGGAGAGTGGGGTGGGGGGAGCTGAAAGCGTACCTGGTGCTTACGGCGGGATAGTACCCCCAATTTCAAGAATTAGTCATGCAAGTTTCAGAAATATTAGATAATGCACCTCAAGCGCAAGCAATGCAAAGGTGTGCAGCTCTTTTTTCCACACATCTTTGCGCTGAAAAAAATATGACTCTGGCCAGTATAGAATATCACACCCTTATGTTAAGTATATCCTCAAAAACCCTTCTATTTTCGGAGTTCCTACTCATTTCGCTGCGCAGAAGTGAGTACATACAAAGAAGCAGTTCCATGAAGTGGGCCAAGTCTGTAGGGGAGGAGCTGGGTTCTAAAATCGCACTCCCTCCTTCCAGCAAGTTTGACCCGTCCACACTGCCCACCGTTCAGAGCGTAGACCTCATGCTCCAGCCCTGGGTGGGCAGAGGTCGGGGGTCACCGACCAAGAATCGCTCTGGGGTCGGAGTCCCGGTCCAGAAGTTCCTCCAAGGCCGTCGAGGTTGAGGAGCTGAGGCGCTCGTGGGGTCGGAGTCCCGGTCCAGAAGTCCCTCCGAGGCCGTCGAGGCTGAGGCGCTGAAGCGCTCGTGGGGTCGGAGTCCCGGTCCAGAAGTCCCTCCGAGGCCGTCGAGGCTGAGGCGCTGAAGCGCTCGTGGGGTCGGAATCCCGGTCCAGAAGTCCCTCCGAGGCCGTCGAGGTTGAGGCGCTGAGGCGTTCGTGGGGATGGAATCTCCAACACTTTTTTATGAAAGCCTTTGGGATTTACGCGAATATCACAAAGAGAAGTGTAATGTTTAGCAACTACTCTGTGAAGAAATTGCGCCGAATCCCGCACCTCCGCCTGGAATACACTAACACCTAACCTGGGTAACTTAGATAGAGGGAGCTTGTCTGAAATATTTAATAGAATGGAGCCTGTCCGAGTAATTTAAAGTCCAAGTCTGAGGTGTGATCTTGCCGCAGCCTCCAGCCGAGGCGTGACTCGGGTACTCTGCACTTTCCAAACCTAGTGGTGCTGGACCATCAAAACAACGCTCTGGACAGCGGGCGGACTGGAGGAGTTTGAATGTGCTGGAACGATGGAAGGCAATTTTAAGAACCAGCGTCTCTCCCGCGCACCTAGTTCGTTTCATGGCAGTGCTTCCAGCTGATGTACTTATCCCTGCCCGGCAAAAAATATGTGCTGTCTGGAATAGAAAGGAAGTGCGAAAATGTCGGATGCATGAGGATGTCATATTCTTTACTGGCAAGTCACACAGGGGTACAGCGCCAGAATTGCTGTATAGAAAAGTACCTAACTAGGACCTTTGCTCCTAGCTGGGCCACTTCTTTCTCATCATATGGAAAATCGCAACAAAAGCTGCATATGTCTAGAAGCCGTTTAAAATAGTCACCAAACGAGTCGGTTTAACTGTACTTCCGCTTCCCGTTTCTCCCTCGCTTCTGCCTTCCACGCTGAACCGGAAGCAGGGAAAGCGTTATCGGTTAACAATTTTGGTACACGGGGGGCTCCCATTTGTGGTCCACTCCAGCCGCGCATACAAGAGTGCACCGCTTCGCTTTGACAGAATATTATTCTCACCACGTTTGGCTACAAAGGGCACTCTGCAGGGGTAAGACACATTTAACACTTTAGAAGGGGGCAAAACACATTTTATTTTGCCTTTGCTGAGCTAAGCATTGCTCCGCTAGCAATGCCCACGCCAAACATGGACCAAAAAGGCGAAAACACGCCAAACATGGACCAAAAGGCGAAACACGCCAAACATGGACCAAAAGGCGAAAAGTCACTCTCACTACATGGCCTCAAACCACCAGTGGAAGTGAAAATAGTAAAAAGACAGGCCAACCTCGCGCACAAGCATTATCAGAAAGTATTATTTTACCCCGGCGTCGAGAATGAAGCATGACATTTTAAACTACATTATAATAAGCTATTGCGTCTTACTACTCTGGATTCCACGATCCCGGAAACCCTGTAGGCTTGCACCACAGGAAGAGTTTGCATGCTTTTCGAAGCTGCTTACACATGTGACGAACCGTGTTCGTTTGAGGCTAAGATACATTTCACACCGCTGAAAATCTGTGATGTAAGTGTTCATGGAACATACTGATAGCATAATATCTTTACGAGCATTACAAACCAAACCAAACTGCAGTTATTCTAAATGTGCTGAGCTCATCCACGTAGGCAAACCTGACCTCGGAAGGAAAACTACGAACGTCACGTGAGCAGCTGGGCGCTTGTGTGCATGCATACAGCCGCCCGCAACACGAAGGGGCTATTCTAAATGGTCATGGCCCGCTTGTCCAGTTTTTCGTCGCGTAGATGTGTTATACTGTATCGCATATCGGGGCGCATATGCCGACATCCCCCCGTTCGCGAGGTACCCATACGCCGGCGCAACCTTTTTCTCGCATCCCGTCCCGTCCCGTCCCCTCCCCCCTCGCCCTGGCCCGCTCCGGCTCGGCCCGGCCCGGGCCGGCCTAGCCCGACCCGCTCCATCCCGCCCCGCCCCGCTGTGGAACCGCTTACGTGCCGAAGGCGGGCGGCACGACGGCCGGCAGCGGCTGCTCGAAGTAGAGCCGCAGCTCGTCGGGACTGGCCGTCGAGTGGTACTCCAGCATGTCCATGCACTCGCTCAGCTGGTGCTCCTGGGTGAGGTCGGCCGTCAGGACCGCCAGACACCACAGCCGCCTCTCGGGGGAGCGGGCCCGGGCGCGCACGCTGTGCGGTTCTAGCGCTCAATGGTCATCGATAAAGCACGCCATTCTGATACCGCCTGCCAACGAACGACTGTGATTATGGGATCAGTGCTGCTTAGTGTTTGTCTCCCTATGTAGTTTTTGGCTTACGTTCCAAAGACACGTTCGATTGTGATACAGCGGAATGTAGTGACCGCTTGTGTTCATTGGGTCACGATGGCAGCCCTATCATACCAACCAAGGCCCACATAAGACCATACACCGCGTATCTCGTTCGCGGTCACGCTTTCTAAGAACGCAACACTACTCATCAAGGAATAGTGCGTGGGAAGCGGCCGTGCCTTCTTCTGGCTTCTGTCGTGCATGATGCCGTAGTAGAGCGCCAGCGAACAGTACACGCCGAACATTCGGATGGCCGCCTCGTCCGAGGCCGTGAACAGCTCGCCTCCTGCAAACGCAGCGGGCCAGGGGAGCTGCCGGGGGTCACAGTGGGCGCACACCGGACGCACGGTCGCAAGGTTACAGGCCCCAGCAACGAAAATACCGTACGGGTAGAAAAGAATGTTCGAGGTCATTACACGCGTAGCTAACGTCCCTGATGTTATATCTGCCCTTGATTAGTCCCTTGATATAATGCCGCCATGCCAAACAAATGCGCAAAACAAATTCAAGAATGTGTTTTGAATAGGATTTTTAAAAAAATATACATACGTGAACATTCTCCAAACAAGAAGCTTTCGATCAAATTTTCTTGTCTATAAGCGACTCACGACAGGGAATTGTGGCCGTTCACCTCGGAGCAATATGGCTAGCGTCAGCATTTTACTTTGCTGTAGTAATATCCTCTGATTGGCGCTTTCCGGCTTAATGCGCACCCGGGTTGCTGGTTGAATATGACGCGCTCAGGTGGCGAGTATGATGGGGTTGGGGTGTCAAATGACCGCCTGAGGTGTTGAAAACTAAGAGCTGGAGTCACGAACTCCACAGTGACGGTAGAACTCTATGTGAACTCAGTTGTGGCAAACATTTAGATCCTTAGGTTGTGGGCTTCGGGTTAAACAACTTGAAACTCGAGATCGGTGTCATAAGCGCCCCAACATGCTCTCACGCCACCAGCTTTAACCAAGATACTTTTCTAAGCAGCAAGTGGCTCGAGTTTATATCAGGCCACTGCCCTTGCCTGAGGTTTAAAATACCAGAACTACACAATATCGTCGAAATTATTTTGATCTATTAAGTTTAAAATTAGCGCGAAACTTACCTTGGGCGACATGTTCCTCATATCAAAAGGTTAGATGTCATTTGAGGTCAGCCAGTAAGTCGGCGAGTCAACATAATAAGTCTGCTGTCCTCGCTGTAGTCAGGGAATTCAAAATGGGTGTCAAAAACCATCCCCAAAGAGCGACTTTTCCCGCAAAAACAGTTTGGCTTTGACCTTGATCCCACCTTTGTAACTGACCGAATGTCAACGAAATTAGTTGTAATACAGATCTCCATCACTCAATTGTCTAAGAAACTACCCCAAAGTTGCATGAAATCGTACAGCACTCCGTTGTCGCATCAGCCTGAGATTTTCTGAGAAGCGCCCTCGCAGACAAGCATAGCATGACTGACCTGCGACAGGCCAGCGGCCTTAAGAGGTAGGCATAATTTTGTTCTAGGGAAATATTGACTATTCAATTTTCCATAGCAATATAAAGTTTGGCAATGCTTCACCGCAATGTTCGGGAATTATCCAGGAAAACCTTAGGCTGGGGCAGGGGTCAAATTGACCACAACCCGAGCACGTATGATAGGACGTATGGTAATAACGTTGCGGAACAGAAAAGGGCTCAAGTCCATGTGCCAGACGACTAGAGATTTAATTACGTGCTTGGCAGATAAAGTGGGAAATATCGAGAAGCCACATCAGTACTGAGATTTGCATGTCACCCCAGCATTAATATCACAAAGTACAAACACCAGCAACCATGATTCTACACACCAAGAACCTGAACCAAGAACCCTTAGAAGCAGTACCAAATAAGTACCTACCACTACAAATATCTAAAGTACTTACGAAGATAGATAATGGATAACGCCAATATGGAAATAAGATGACCTGCAAGCATACTTTCATAAATTTCGGATAATTGTATCGTATCGTTTTTCTTTGAACTGAGTTAAACAGTATGCCCAGTGACTTTCTTTTTCAAAAGGACAAACATATGCATACATTGCTGGAATGGATAGTGATATACAGATCATCCGAGTGACACTAACTAAAAGCAACACGGACACGCGAAGGGTAAAACCCGCAAAACAGGGGTTCTCGCGAAGAAATGTAATATGAAGTGCCGTCCCGACACGCTATTTCTAAACATTCTCAATGCAAGGTAGCCAGACACCAATTAAACGATACGCGCCGGAACTACCTAGATATCAGACAAGACAAGGCAACTGACACCCCGGGCGTTCTCTGCCACCTCCCTTTCGGTCGAGACTGGCCCGGCGCTCGAGTCACCGCCGTGACGGCACGCGCACCTATCTTATTGACGACCTGCAGCACGCCCAGCAGCCGACCCTTGGCCTTGACCGGGTAGGCGAGCAGACCGCGCGACTTGTAGCCCGTCCTGCGGTCCACGTCCGGGTTGAAGCGCGGGTCGGCGTACGCGTCCGCCACGTTTACCAGCTCGCCGAGGCGCGCGCAGCAGCCGGCGATGCCGCGGCCCAGGGGAAAGCTGATCTCGCTCCGCTTGGAGAGCACGGGTGAGCCGTTTATCACCTGCGGCGGAGCGAGAAAACGGAAGATGGCATTCAGCATCCGGCTGAACACACTGCGCTGCTGGAGCAGTCGTGATAAAAATGACTAAGCGCGCGTCGTCGGTGCTTTTTCTGGGCTGATTTGATCTGAATATGTGCAGCGCTGAAATCGGAAGTCATCACCATATAAAATGGTATGGCACGAGACGGGTGAGAGGCGCCTACAATACCTGTGTTTGTGTTTTTTTCAGCGGTTATTTTAAAAATATTCGCCGCTGAGGAGACACTCCCTTGTTTTGCAATCCTTCTTCGGCCCATGAGACCGTTGGATGGGTTGGTTGCACATAATTTATGAAAATAATTTTGTGTTCACCTAACTTTCACAGCAGTATCACTGTTAATGCCGTAATAGAATTGTTCTCTCTGGCGTATATGACAACCACGTCACTCCCATATTATCACTTAGTTCCACCAACCTTGTATATTGACGTCTACAGGTAGGGTTGCGTCACCATGGCTTCATGCGTAAGCCTGGGAGAGCTGGGCTGTGGTGGCCCACTTTATCTCAACAGGGAATTTCATGCTCGAAGCTAATATGACGTCGCAATGTTAAAGGCCCACTTCTCTCTCATGATGTACATTGTATGTAGTTCTCTCTACCCTTGATATTTTTTATTTTACTCCAAATGTAAACATTCTTATTTCCAGCGATGATTATAGAGACAATTACACTATACTTGGGTAGCATGAAAGGACTTCTTTAGGTAACTGGTTGCAGAACTTCACGGTAATCAGGCTTGCTTACCGTATTGAGCTCGCTACCAGACTGCAGTGACCCTTCGAAGTCGGCCTTGTTCCCCTATCCAACTATTAAGTGCATGTAAATTGCGACGGCATATAAACACCACTTAAAAGCAATGAGTGAAGTACTGTTTCTTTTACGACGCTTTAGCCATAAGTAGCATGTTAAAAAGCATCTAAACGAGTTGTCGCTGTACCCTGTGAGCAACACTCTGCGGTGATGGCCCTGTAAAAGGGTACTGGTCCTACCAAACAAGTTCTGCAACTTTATGATCTATTAAATTGCTGCAAATTAGTGGTACCGAAAACAGCGACTCCAGCAAACGCAGAGTGACCTTTTGAGCTTTTCGCCTCGGGCGATATACTCACGCCCTAAAAATTATCATAACTCTGGCAGACAGTAATGGTGTCGGACTACCACAGGGTCCTTATTACACTGCTAGCACCGCAGAAATGCTGAAGAGCGAACGGCTGGTAAAAGGGGAGATAACACATCACCCCAAGGTTACATTGATATCTCCTTTCAGCGCAAGTAAAAATATTTCGCTGGCAAACTCCCGTCACTGAAGTGGCAATTACACCATATCCAGGTCGAGTGACTTCTGCGGAAAATCAGATCCCAATGCTGGGACACTTTTGTAATTCAGGAGGAATGCAAGACCAGCGGCGGTAGTTGTACATTCGTTATGGCAGGGCTATAGTTACACTAAACACTGCCGTAAACATAGGCACGGCCGAAAACAGCGCAAATGTTGCAAGATATAAGCTGGCCGCGATTTGTTGTGGTTGAAAGACTTAATTCTCCATTCTCCTGGTTTTTCTCCGAGGAATAAGGCCAATGCTACTGTCTGATCTACGTGAACAATGTTCCTCGCTAAGGTACTGAACAACTTACGTAATTGTTCTGGTAGAAATGAGTTAACCATTTGGGGCAGGTCTTACTTCAACCTAACCGTCACCGTCCATGGAGCACCTTGCCTGAACATCGTCGAACAGAGACGCCGCCAGTTCGGACCAGCGTACCTGACCATCGTCGAACAGAGACGCCACCAGTTCGGACCAGCGTACCTGAACATCGTCAAACAGAGGTGCCACCACTTCGGGCCAGCGTACCTGACCATCGTCGAACAGAGACGCCACCAGTTCGTTCTTTTCCTCCTCCAGCGAGAAAAAGGTGACCCGCTCGGCAGCGACCAGCGACTTGGCGTACACCATGATCTTGGAGATGAGCGTCTCCTGCGCGAACACGTCCTCAAACAGGGACTGCGCCACCTCCAGCAGGAAGCCGTTCAGCTCCTCCTGGTGCTGCAGTACCTCGCTGAGCTGCCGGGCGGTGGCGGCATCAGCCCCAGCTCCAGCTCCAGCTCCAGTCACAGCCACACCCGGCTAGCTAGCCCAGGTCGTGACAGGCAGCCTTGCAACACGCATTTACCACAATTCACCGAGCTCGGAAAGCTAAACTGCTTCAGCTGTTGCTGACTCACTTCTCAAGCAGCAGCAAAGCCGGGGGCAGCGGCTTACACTGGTCGGAGCCCCTGCACCTGTCAGAGACCCACAGTGCCAACAGAGTGTTCTGTGTTGGCACGGGGTTCCCGAATCCACTAAGGGCGGTGTTCAATTAAGCCCGGAGAGGGGCACGGGCGCCCACCGAGACCGACGATCAAGAGCCTGATTGGAGGGGGGGGGGGGACATAAGGGTCTGAAGGGCTGCCTTTAGATCACAGAAAGGATCCCGGCTCGTAGGGCCGTGACCTGAAGTACCAGTCATGGGGCATCTTACACCGGCTGAGGACCCTGAGACAATGCGAACGTCTATGTCGGCCAGAGATCACCGACACGGAACGCTGGTGCCGTGTCGGTCTGAACCCTAGGGTCCCTTTCCGGAAGGCTGAGCAGGGCCGGCACTGCAGACGCACGATGTGTATAGGTCTAAGTCCCTGAAACAGCTATCGAGGCGCGTCCATAGGTCAGGGGCCACGGCGCTTAACAGGGTCATGTATCGGCAAGTGGCCCCGAGTCCGTTTCGGGCTTTGTCTGAGGAGACACGAAGAGACGTTGAGGGGCCCCTTGGGACCGAAGACCGATGGCCCGATTGGAAGGCTAAAGGGCCGAGGGGCCCGGAGGACTGGCCGCAGGTCACGATAAGGACGGCCCCCGGGCGTAGGGCTGTGACTTCGAACGTCTGTCAGGGGGCCTCCGGCATCGATCGGGGCCTCGTGGGCCGGTGTGGGCCTCTATTTCGGCCAGAGACCACCAACGCCCAACAGTCGGCCCTGTGTCTCATTTGTGTGCGGACTCATTTCCCAAGCACGAGCAAGACCGGGCCCATGATTTGCATCGGCAGGGATCCCTGAAACAATGAGGGTTCCGGTCAGGGGCAGACAGTGCCTAACAAAGTGTCGTATGTCAACAGGGGGCCTCGAGGCGATCAGGAACACATTAAATGAACAGGGACAGGGACGGGACCCAGAATGCCGGAGGGCCTCTTGCGTTGGCCGGGGCCCTCTGACAATGAAAGGAACTCGGAGAACTTATGATGAGTGTTCACATTGAGGCAATGAAAGTGCTAGTGTTAGTGGAAGTGCTAGTAGAATTGGGCCCAGTGTTAGTCAGACCCCCAGTATCGAACGGCGGGCCCTCCTACCGAATTTTAACCGTGGACGTGCTAATACTGGCCCGGACGGCCGGTGGAGTATCCTTTGTTCGGGTGGTGGTGGGTTCAACCTGACCCTCCACTCCCTGAAATCTCCAGAACCAAGTGAGCTAGAGACACCAAACTCTCAAGGCAGGTTGGTCTTAGGCGAACTGACTTGTGTCAAATTTTTAAGTTCATGGGTCTTCGGATAAAATATTTTCATAGGATTCATAGATCCTCGGCCCAAAAAAGGCCAAACAAGTTCAAATTCCCGATTGCTATCCGAAGTGGTCCCAGACCTCCTTATATAACCGACTCAAACCCAGATTTCTGTTCTACGCAGAAGGTCGCTAGTATAAATTTTTGTTCAGTGACATTGTTTGGCCTTTAAAAGGTCATGGTAACCAAAAACCTTCGGGACTGTTTTGATTTTTGAATTTTAATGCGCGTGAAGGATTATGCTAGGCGGCACGGTCCTAAAAAAGGGTTGATCTGTTTCATTTTAGGGCAGATACCTACCCTGGCTTTTAAAAATTCAATAGAAGATGTCTGCTGCGGTCCATGTTATTAACAAATCTGAAATGAACATCAGAAACTATCTCACAAAGCACGCTCCCCAGTCAAAAAGCAGGTTGGCTTTGAACTACGACGGCTTACTGCGCAGTGCTTCAAAACACATTTGCCGCCGTAAAAAGTGCTGCCTTCAAAATCCAAACAGTGTTAATATCACGACAGCTTCTGACTTCTGTTCCAGCTATAGAAGGCAAAAATGATAATAAAACAGAGAAAAGTGGGCTCCTCGTAAACGAGCGGGCCATATCCAGGGATTTTTTGGGAAGGAGCCTTATACCATCAGGGGGTCCTTTCTCAACCCTGCGCCCCCCTCTCCCACCCTTGAAAAGACTCTAGCTGTGACATTGGTGATATCTACAGGTATGATCGGCAACATCCTGTAGTGGGGTGGACCAAGTCTGGTTTGCTACCTTTCATTCTCGATCAAGTTGAAAAATAGTCGTTAGTCGATAGTCCCATCGAGCGTTCTTTTACTATGTTTAGCAACATGTCGTTTGTGATATTTGACGGGAAGCAAATAAAAATGTTTAGACGTATATCTCCTCTCCTGTTGGCTTGCAGGCGGAACTACACCTGCGCAGCGTACCACCTTTCGGTCGTGCTCAGTTAAAAAGGCAGTGTCAAGCTTCTCTCCCACGGATCTATGCTGCTCCTACTGTCATGTCATCATACCCGACCATCAAAAGTGCTTTGAGCCTAAACCACCACACTACACGAGGTAGTTGCGGATACTTGCAGCCAGCCCACACGGCCCAACCGAATCAAACACCAATGCTGCTCAACGTTCCCAGAAATTGTGAAGGAGCTGGGCGAAGCAAAAATGCTATCTAATGCAAAGGAATCACGCACGCTAGACATATAACTACTTCTGTGCTATGTTTCTGCCATGATGATATAGGCCAAAGGCCGGCCTAATATAAAAACCACCGGGTGGCGCTCACCTTCTACTACATCAGTGTTACGGTCAAAGCTTTTGAAAAAGCATTACAGCACAACAGAGGGAAACCCTTACACATAGATAGATAATAAACGAGCCGGGCGAGGGAAGCAAAACATATCCACTTCATTTTCTTCCTTTTTTGAAAGACTCCAGACCCTGCGGGACGCTGGTCATGAATATTCGTCTGGTTCAAACCGCAATGCCTGCTTAGAACATGTTGACACTGCCGCGTCGCTGGAGAACACGGACCTGTATTTTGGAGATGGCGATGTTAAACCAAGCGAGAATGGCGTTGACCGTCTCCAGGTGGTGTACCTCGAACGGCTCGTGCTGAAGACCGCGCCGGAGCTCCAGCACCGCTAGTCCGGGCAAAGGCACCACGAGAGCCGACCGGTCCTGTCCCAGACCGGGCCGTGTCACGCAGTCACAATACAGCCCGAGGCCGGACGTCACAAGAGCCGACCGGTCCTGCCCCAGACCGGGCCGTGTCACGCAGTCACAATACAGCCCGAGCCCGGACGTCACGAGAGCTGACCGGCCCTGCCCCAGACCGGGCCGTGTCACGAAGTCATAATACATCCCCAGCCCGGACGTCACAAGAGCCGACCGGTCCTGTCCCAGACCGGGCCGTGTCATGCGGTCACAATACATCCCAAGCCCGGACGTCACGAGAGCCGACCGGTCCTGCCCCAGATCGGGCCGTGTCACGCAGTTATAATACAGCCCGAGCCCGGACGTCACGAGAGCCGACCGGTCCTGCCCCAGACCGGGCCGTGTCATGCGGTCACAATACATCCCCAGCCCGGACGTCACGAGAGACGACCGGCCCTGCCCCAGACCGGGCCGTGTCACGCAGTCATAATACGGCCCCAGGCCGGACGTCACAATAGCCGACCACTCTTGGGCAGCAGTGCCACGTCTTATCGTACATCACACACGCCAGCAGAGTAAGGAGTGCAATCGAGGGTCACGTCTCGAGATGCACCGACGGGCACAGCTCTGGCGACGGCCAGGAGGCGTGATCAGCCTTCCTGCCCGTAGGCGGCCGACCGGTGGGCGGCAGACAACGAGGGCCGTGCGCTGACACCCTGCGCTGCAGACTATTGCTATCTGGACGGGCTCGGCGCGGACCGACCTTCTCTGACACGCCCAGGCCGAATCCCAGCGGAAACCGGGCGTCGACGGCAATCGAGTCGATGATCAGCGCCTCCCCGCTGGCAGCCGCCAACGCTGTCGGCGTCTGGTGGTCCACTGAGAGGGAGGAGGAGGTCATAGCCCTTGAGTATACACGTCACTGAGAAGGAGTACTGTCTTGTCACAAGCAGCAAACTTGAAAGTGGGTGTTGGATTTATCCGCGCTCTTAAGTAAACCCATCGCGTTGTTATAGCAATGGGGATTTATCACATTCAAAACGCATCAAGGTCCCCCTCCCCATCTCCTGGGTGATGGCACACCACTACTTCCCTGCCAGCTAGGTGATGCATCTCCGTTTCTTATCCAGGAAATGATGGCCTGACAGGATAACGCAACGCAAGAGTGTTCCCTGCTTGGGAAAGGAGCCCAGGGTCCAGACAGACCAGGTCTGTAGTTTGGAGTTGGTGCCCCCGATCAGCTGACTGACAGAAAGCCCACTGTTCCAGGGGATCGGTGCAAGAGCAGTGGACAGAACCTTCGGCTGAATTTGAAAGGTCTGGCCTTCTAACTGGGTTCCCTTTATTTGCCTACGGCATGCCCCTGGGTCCTCCCGATCGGACCGATGATTGTCGGCCCCTCGGGACACTTCGGACCTTCAAGGCCTAAGGCTGTTCACCTGCCTATGGTGGCGGTGGCATAAAGATCTCTGGACGATTTGCTGTGTCCCTGGAAATTTATGCCACTTAAAATCAAATTTTTGGGGCTCCTTGTTGTAACTCCCTAGAATTTGGTACTTCTTAAAAACACAGGCAATGCTTCCCAAATTGAAGGTTTTGGCCATTTCTTCGCATAATGGGCTGATCCAGGATTTCGCCAATGAAGCGCCACGGATTTTGAAACTCTCCCTGGAATTTGTTGTCTCTTACGAATAAAGATGTCGGGAACCTTTAGATGTCCCTGTAATTAAGTGTTCCTGGAAAACGAAGGTCATGACTGCCCAGAAATGAATGTTTAGGTGCCACTTAGTCGAATGGTGAATACTGAGCCAATCAGGAGTAGTGTCAGAATGAAAAGCACGTCGACTTGTGTTGAAAAATAAAGGTCATGGCTCCCCGGCATTTAACTTTGGGTGCCCCTTGCCCATGGAACCGATCCAGGATTGTGTTCGGGGTGGGAAGTGAAACATTGTTGTGTTTGTGGAATTTGGCGCCTCTTGCCTCTTGAGAATAAATATCTTGGGCCATTTGTGGTCGCCTCTGGCCTTGGGTGCTCTTGAAAATAAAGGGTTTTAACTCCTAACGATAGATTTTAGTGCTCCTTTTCGGAATAACCCAAGCCAGGATTTCGTCAAATGGACACGGTGCGGGTGTCGTGGTGCTCCTGGGGTGCGATGGCTCTCGAAAGTGAGCATTTGGGATACTTTGCGAAGGCCCAGAAGTTTGGTGCCTCTTTAGGATCAAGGCCATGCGGTTCCGACGTGAAGGTTTTTGGCATCCGTTCATCATGACATTTTGGCGCTACGAAGGGGCACCAAAAGTTCATGAGCGGTACAACGGGTGGGTGGCATGGTTGCATCCCCCCCCCCCCCCCGCTGGATCCACTCCTGTCTGCACATATTGTTCGATTACAAGCAAAATGAGACAATCAATTTCCCGGCCCTGGAGTTTTGTCATCACACTATTCAATCCAGTGTTTTATGTGGCCTCATTGGCTGGTCCCTCCGGGAAGAGCTTAACATCTACTCGAAGTTGCTGTCTTTCCGCAGCGTCCTGGACCGGTCTGAAAGCAACACCATTTGTGGCACGTGCGGCCCTGCTGTGACAGTGGGATGCTATGGCCATATGGTGACAGTTTCTTCTCCTACAAATAATCCGTCTTTGAACCGAAACAAGGTGACAAACTGGCGTTTTTAGAAGTTCTGAGACGTCTCTAAAGTAGCATCTTTTAGCATACTGAACATCGTTCACTCATCAGAATAAACTTTCAACTCATCGTAACCAAAAAGCAACAGGAGCTGAAGGCCTTTCTGTCTCATATCAACTTCAAATTGACAACAAACTGGACGAAACCTGTGAAAAATGCGTCGAGGAAATCGCATGGGTAAGGTCTATGAGTTCACCCCCCCCCCCCCTTCATGAAAAACGCAAAGCTCCGCCGCCGGCTGCGCATGTAGCGCGGGAAAAGAGAGATGGCAAACCCGACCGAATCCGCATCGCCGCGGCAGTACCGCCCGCCCATCATTTGCTGGAGACGAACCGGAGATCTGCGCGCTGCCAATATCTCTCACAAGCAGAAGAACGCGAATGCGGCTAGCGAATATATTTGCATTTAGTGGTAGGTGTCACGACACAGTACTAGAGCAAAAAAAAAAAAACTACCGACAGGAGCGCTACGACAAGTTATACCCGACATTAATTCTACTGCTCTCGTGCACGACAAAATGTATGTCTCAAAAACTTGTACACGTCAGATGTCTACTCCACCGTCCAAAGGCAAAAAGGCCTGAGAGCCATTAGTTAATATAGCACTTAAGCCTATTGCCTTTGGACGGCAGCAACTGCAAAAAAGCTTATACAGTAGCTGTTTTCACGAAAGAAAACAGTGCAAATTAATGGCTCAAAAACCCTTTCTGCGTTTATTTTCTAACCACACAATTTTTGTGAGCGATTTTCGACTAAAAATATTTCGGAGGTGTTTAAAAACACGTTTGTAAGGGTGCATAGCTTGATAGAATTGTGGTCCGCTGACTATAAGGAACATCGTGCTTTTATGGACAGGTATGATGCTAGATCTCTGCCCACCAAAATTTTTCAAAATTCATTACAAACAATTGGTGACATCTATGACACAAGAGCGACAAAGCAAACCCGTATACCATTGCTGCTGTTCAAAGGCATGCAGTACTTCCCGAGCTTACTTACAGTACTTATAGCGTTTGCCTACAGCCCATACAAAGCTTACAGGGCCTACATACCTTACCATAGTCCAACATGAATGATTTTTGAATGAAATGATACTCAAAGCCGGCCTTGCTCCACACAGCACCAATGTGAACAATCACGGGGCAGTCGGCGTCCAACGCACCCCGCCGACCCACATTGCTGATTGCCAGGCCTAGGTTTGCAGCGGAAGGAATGACAGGTACAAATTTTTGCAGCGTAAAATTTGTCACGTAGTACTAATGCCGTGTATGAGTATTTGCAGTGGAAGCAATGTCATAGCACTCCTGTCGGTAGAACGTCTTGTTGCAGCACTTATTTCGCGAAACCTTAGTGGCAGGCATTATCACTTTCAGTGGTTCGTATAGACATAACTTACTTATTTTCACGCATGTCTTGCTCTTGACAAAGTCGTCTCTTCCTGGAGTGTACTCGTTGAGTTCCTGGTTTTGAAGATCAATCAGAAAAAGCGTGAAGGCTGGAACACAGTTTAATACAGTTATTGCAGCCCCACATAGCACAAGGCCAGTATTAATGCATTTGCATACTACCGGCATACACTAGGGACGTTCCATATTTTGTGGGGTTTTGAATTGAAACAGCCATCTTTAAGCTCATGCGGTGCGGTTCACGGCCCTGCCCTCCTTAGGGCCTGAAACTCTCTAGTCTCTGACATACATGCTTGCGAAGACATGCAGACCATCTCGTTAGGCTGTTTCAATGTCATTCAGCCATGCATGACGCCATAAAAACACCATTCAAATCCTGTCACCCCATTGGCCAGGCAGCGTTCAAAACCAGCAAGACTGTAATCGTCGAGTCGTTCATAGCTGGCAGTCAAACGTACTATTTCAAGATAGTACGTTACGGACGTCATTCCGCTCTAAATCAATGTTGTCCAGGCTGTGCAAGTTTCCGAAGTTGCATTCTACGTAATACTACAAGTTGGAATGGGTCCGAGTTATATTGCGGAAATAAAACCAGCAACATGATAATCTAGGAATAACGTTATAAGCGAGTATGTGAATACAAGTAAACAGCTTAGACTCCACATGCAAGAGCACCGCGAGGGGCCAACACGCGAGCACGTAATAGTTGATTCGGCAAACACTTCCCGCACCACAGCGGCCACCTCTTGGTAGAATGGAGTACTACAAGTGAGTGCGAGGGTAGCAATGTCGCACGGCCAGTTTGGCAGCGTCTTAACGTCGTCCGGACGTTCCATGACACAATGACACAATGACAAATTGGACGGTATCTTCACTTAATAAATTTTGTTGTCTCGAATACCCTATTCCACTTGAAAGTATATGGATGGTCACAAGTAATCTTTTTTCACCTCATCTGATGCTTGCTTCAATAATTTCAAAGGTGGAACATTCCCTCTAATTGGACGCCTGTCAACTATACATACCGCAGTGGAATAAAACAAAAATGTGGACTGTCCATTGATTACATTACACGATTTTGGTCATTATTCCCGCCTCCTGCTCTCTCCCCATCGGATACCCACAGGTTCTGCTTCACGAAACCGCCATACCAATGTTTACATCATGTGTTTACATAGGTTTACATAGGTGGTATAATGTCCCGTGGCACCAAATTTATTGTAGACGAAAAGCTGGATGGGATACGCTTTTAGTCAAATTTCAAGCAGCCGAAGCAAAAGGTAAATAGCGATGATCGAGCCTGGCTTATCAATATTATATTTTGATGGTTGTAAGTATAATTTTTTCGTGATGATTAGCAATCAGGTGGATAAAACGGCTCCGCCCACACGTAGAAAGCAGCGGGAAGAAAACGTTGTGATAGCCGAGCCAGGCGAGGAACATTTCACTCATCTTGCGCCAGCATCAGGGAGGACGCACGCGATATTCACTAGAGGTTCCAGTCTGCCGATGCCGAGTTTGTAACTGTGGTCGTCTTTGGAGCGGATTCAGCTGCAGTTAGGCGGGAAGAAACAGTGACATCTGTCATCTGTTTGAGGTCTTCGACTGCAAGCCCGTGCATTGGCTTATCCACCAGCTTCACGCATGCTGCGTGAGCTGTATACCAATTTTGATGGCGTCACTAGTGGTCCCAAACCATTTCTGGCCTCGTCGGTAAAAAGTTAGCAGAGGATCTGGAGAATAAGCCAGTGGTATCGTCCGAGACCATGTCTGGCGCCTAAAATTGACAAGCAGTTTATGGCATATTCGAGTGCAGACTAATAGATGTTGTATCAACTGTCGTCAGTTGCAGTAAAAAGTCGCATTCCATGATATTTGGTGTTGAGAAAGATAGGTCCTCTCAGCCTGGCCACACGGCTGACGCTGGCAGTACGGCTTTTAGGCTCGTGTGTTACGACTGCGCCAAACGACAGGGCTCAGACACTTACCGAGCGTATTGTGAGGCCCCACGCGCCTGCCTGGGTCGAGATTCCGTGTCTGTCACCCGCATTGTAGCAACGGCTTCAAAAGTTTGCTCCGCACCGTTCATCCACTCAGAAATCTGGATCCCTTGGTCCAGAGCATGATCCCACCACTTAGCCAGCGGAATGGCCGCTGGACTCAGCCAGAAGCCATCCTTCTGGCTCTGCTCGCTGATCCCGTCGAGGAGACCCACCAGGAATCCGTGGCTAGGGTCGTCCGATGCGAGATCAGGTATGCGACGAGGTGCGGCCGCACCAGTTCAACGACATCAAATCTGACGCCCCCAACCACACCGACTTTATCGATCGGTCAAAAGGGTTTACAACCAAGCCGCCACTCAGTACGTCGAGGAGCGTCACATAGCATCTCCGAGCTGCCGACTGCGGGCCACATGACCCTCCATACCCTACCACGACGACCCCCGCCCTCATCCCCCTACCACGATCCACGGACCGTCGAGCAAGGAGTGCAGCTTGTCACGCGGGCGGCGTCTCCCGTGGTGGGTCGGGATGCTCACCGTCGACGCTGCAGTGATGGGACGGGACGCTCGCTATGGGACGGGACGCATACGCCTCAGCAGCTGGAAAACTGCTTCGGATGCTTTGGTTAATGTCCCACTCAATATGTAAATGGCGCTTCGAGCGGTGTATACAAATCCGGAAAAGCGGGAAGTGGTGGTACGCAGCTACTTTATGCATAAGACCACATAAATATCTTCTGTCGTCAAACAGCATACGGACAACCTGAGAATGATATTTAAAAAACTAACAATTCTTCATCCACAACATTACGCTTTTGACAAAAATATATTCGAGCACCATGTAAAAAAACAGCCGCGTGCCTCCTCCAAACCTCATTTTACAAATAGGAAAACATTTAGGTGAGTTTGCTATATGCGCCCAGTAAAATCACGAAAATTTTGAAGCACGTTTTCGCCGCCCGGGACGTTAAGACGCTGCCAAACTGGCCGTGCGACATTGCTACCCTCGCACTCACTTGTAGTACTCCATTCTACCAGGAGGTGGCCGCTGCGGTGTGGGAAGTGTTTGTTGAATCAACTATTACGTGCTCGCGTGTTGGCCCCTCGCGGTGCTCTTGCATGTGGAGTTAAAGGTGTTTACTTGTATTCTACTGCTTACCATATTTGTCTTTCCGCGATGATGCTCATTGCCATAAGAGGAACAAACTGCAGGCAAAAATCCTGACGATTGAAGCGGCAGAATCACACGCGATAAGCCTGGTTAGGAGCGAATGGGATGAGTTGTATGAATGCATGCAGTTTGAGGGCGATTTTCTCCAAATCTATGCGATAGGTGCCGGTACTGAGTCACTCGGCTGACGCACCACAGCGACGTCTACCTTTCAGCGTACTGCCGGCATGTACTGCATACGCGCACTCGTCTTGGGGTGTCCGTGACATTTTTTTTCTGCATATCGCTGAAAACTCTAGGATCGGTGGAAATGTGTGTGTAAGGTCTTACGGTACAGCCAGACTAATCCGTGCACCATACAACGTAGTGGAAAGTACGCATGCCGCATATCCCGTAAAATATTTGGCGTCTGCTTGCGACTGAATTTCGTGGTGGCGCGAGCTTTGTTCTAAGATATCGAGCAGTGCATGTTGTACCAGCTGTGTACGGGACGTGTTGTATCAGTGATACAGCGCGCCAACAATGGTGTCATTGACTGATGTACTGTCAATCACTGTCTGACGTAACTGTCATGAGTTATTGAACTCCAGATGATAAGTAAGCATTTAAAATGTCTGTCCATATTCACAATGCTTACCTGAGCACAAGAAACAAGGGCGGCAATAGTTGTACAATAAGCACTGACTGATTAAAAATAGCAAAGATTTGTTACGTTGTAACAACGGTTAATCACGAAAAGGCGGAGACCAGCGTCTTCTGTCGGCCTATCGTAACACATCCAAATGGCTGGCGATGCGCAGAGCATTTAGCTTGCATCATGCACAAGACCAGTGGAACTTCCCCCACCATGTGATACACTCTACCCCAGGATGGGTCGGTTTGTATCCTTTGAAAGGGGCTCATTCAGAGGTCATTTACAAAAAACAAACGAAGGCGTACACTCCGAACCTTTCCACTACTTATGTATCTAGAAGTTACAGCCGTCTGCAAATATACACATCTTGGTCGTATCCTCAGTACTTGTGGTGCGAGAGAGCTCAGGGTATAAACTGATATAGCTCTTCCTGCTCTCCCTTACATTGTCGCTGAGATCTGCCCTGACCACCAGTTGCACTTGTTTATTCGACCATGCACAATTTAGTGGCTTCAATTTCTAAGATCAAATTCATTTATTGCTGACCAAGAACCGTACTCTTCGAATGCGTGCAAGAAATCTCCCAACGTCCATCCAATAAAATGAAGGTAAAAATTGTGTCAAGACCTTGGCCACCACACTTCTTGTGTATCCAAATATAAATGAAGGTGGCTTGTCTTTTCACCAGAGTTTCTTACTACATTTCGCTGCATTGTTGTCACACATCGCTACCGCACTACATATCGTTGCGAGTGCGTCGTTAAGTCCCAATAACTGCGGTGAATACAAGCACTACAACTGACGTAGTAACGCGGCTACTCTTGGAACCATTATAACTCTAGACAGAACGCAATCCGTGGGCTCCCTCGCACTGATGGGTGGGCGGTTCCCACTACTCAGGAAGCTACCGTCCACCCATACGGACAAAGCCATATTGCTCATATTTGGGTAAATTTCGTATCAAGCACCACACGATCCCCGTACAGACGTGCCCTACAGCCGTAGCCGTGTCTGAACCCAGACCCAGATCAGCTACTGGCGGGGGCACAGGCCTGCCGCGGCCGGTCTACAGACTCAGGCCCAGATCAACTATTGACGGTAGTACAGACCTGCCGCGGCCGATCTATAGACTCAGACCCAGATCAACTACTGGCGGGAATACAGAACTGCCGCGGCCGGTCTACAGACTCAGACTCAGATAAACTACTGGCGGGAATACAGAACTGCCGCGGCCGGTCTACCGACTC